GTTTCAACTCTCTCAGGCAAAGTTGACCTTAGATGGATTTGGATATTTTTCTAGGTCCTTTTGGTTATATAGCTCTTCAATTGTTTCGGTTTTTATACATCCTTGGCTTTTAAATATTAGGCTTTGAGCTTTCCTGATGAGGGTAAATCCAGAAAAGCGCTTCGGACGCATGAAATTTATAACGTGTTGTTTTCATTAATTTTTAAATACACCTGTATGTATAATTAAATGATATAGCTTCTTTGATCTAACCCTTTAATACGAAAACAAAAATGTACACATTGTAAGATATTTCCAGGAGAAGACCACAAGACCCCCTCTTGCTTCACACATTGGTGGATGCATTTAGCATTCATAGATATTTACTTTTCGAATTTTTACGCTCCTGGAGGTCTTATTATCTTGGATGCCTAGTTACATGTAGCATTGCCTCTTAAATGAAAACAGGTCTAAATATGGGTATATATCTATACTATTAAATTTGTAGACAGAAATTTTTTAGCCGGTTTGTCTCCGAACCGACGATCATCTGAAGTATTATATATTAATAAATAGTTAGTGTATGTAATGTACTTTATAACTTCATATAGTAATTGCTTTAATTAGGGTAGCTTAATTAAATAAACCCCAAATAAAGTACCATAGCTAGTTCCTTACCGCCTACGTTTTCTAAGCAGGCGGAAATGGAATTAATGACAAAACGTCTCACGGCCAATTCGCACTACGCCCTCTCGCATCAATTATTACAACTGTCATCACTTTATCAAACTCGCATCACTCAGAAAAAAACAGAGTGTAACACAGAGACAGATGCTACCAATTAGACATTCAAACCCCTTATTGAAGAGAAACTGACAAACTAATAAAAACGATCAACACCATGCATCTGTGCACAAAAAACGTTTGAGAAACACGAACCAAGCTGCACGATGTAGGGCTGTGCTGTGTATCACCATTAACATTTCAAGTAGTCTTCAAGCCGCGCTCGCGCGGGTTACTTCTAGTATATATATATAATTACTCTATATATCAGCACAACAATGTTAAATCTGAAAATTTGCGGAAGCAAATTTTTGTTTTTCCCTCGCCGGGATTCGAACTCATGCTATTGGGATATCGTGACAACACCGCCTACACTGTGTAATTATGAATATAATATGTGTTTTCAGCCGTGTATCACATTAACTGGTGGTCCAATGAATGGATCTGTCGTAGAGTTATCACTTGTTTAGACGTAATTATCAAATATTTTTTTCTGTGGCTGCATCTTACGATCCTTTACGACAGATAATTTAGCTAATCTGCAATCAATTGAATCTTCTTGCCTAATATATCATGTACTGTGTTACAACTCCAGATTCTACTGACGAGGAAAGGTAACACTTGGCCACCGAAAGCTGAATTTTTAGTTCAGTCTAGGTGTGGCCGAGTGGTCTAGAGCGCTGGACACAGTGCAGGCGGTGTTGTCACGATATCCCAATAGCATGAGTTCGAATCCCAGCGAGGGAAGAACAAAAATTTGCTTCCGCAAATTTGCAGATTTAACATTGTTGTGCTGATATTTAGAGTAATTATGAATATAATATGTGTTTTCAGCCGTGTATCACATTCACTGGTGATCCAATGGATAGAGTTGTCACTTGTTTATACGTACTTATATATATATATATATATATATATATCAACAAAAAAATGAAGCATTAATTTACATTCGTAGTAAGTAATTACACGCTTCAACCAATAACAAGTAAAGAAATGTTGTTTTCTGAATAAAAAAAAAAATGAATGATCTATCACGATTAATTTTGATCAAAAATCAACAAAATTATACTTTATTTCAAACAAAAAATATGAAATTTTTCATGTAATAACAATCTTTCATTTTACTGGACTACAACTCTAAAAACTAAGTTTCAAATATATCATGATATATAAGAATGTGACGATTATAGATCAGGGATGGGGTAATCCTAATCTGTAATCGTAATCGATTGTAATTGATTACATTTTTTCCAGTAATCGACAGTAATCTGTAATCAAAGATTTTTTCAATTACATGTAATCGTAATTTAATCGATTACAGCAAAAATTTTGATGTATTCATCGATTACTTTTCGATTACATTTCGATTACTTTAGTAAAATAGTTTGATGAAATATAAACTATTTTAAATGAAAATATGTATGTATTTAGCACTTTACAGTACAGATAAAATAGAATGTATTGATAAGACTCCAGAGTTTATCAAATGCCTTATTTCTATCTATTGTCTCAAGCTGCATTATGATCAACCAGATCCCCTACCAAATGTTACTTTTTATCTAGGTTTTGAAACAAATGGATTTATATGCTTGTCAATAATTCAAACCTTTTATATTAAAATAAGAAAATAGATTTGAAATAAGAAAATATATTTAGAATAAGAAATGAGTCTTAAGTTAAAGTTAAGGTGGTAGGCTTATTTGTATTAAAATTCCTTAAATCATAATTTTCAATAAGAGTTGGAATTTTAGCTTAGAATAGACAATCAGTTGATTCCTTATAATGTTATGATATTAAAATTAAGAAAGTACACAAAATCCTTTTGACAATGAACCAATTGCTATGCATTTAAATTCTTTTTTTTCAGAAATAGATGCATGTATCCCATTTTGACACTGTAAATATATATTGTTTATAATTTGATTAGAGAATAAAAAAAAACTTCTTGTCTTTACTAATCAGATGATCAAAGACTTCTAATCAATAAGATGGAGACTGCTTTCATTTCAATTATGTCTAATTAAGAGGGAGATTTACATTATTTTGCCCCAGGTTATAAATTGTACTCCATTGACAGTTTTATATCCTGTAATAAGGATTAATTCATGCACGTCATACTTTGATCTTTATAAAAATTACCTGAACTAATTAATTATTCTATTTATTTTTTTCAGACCAAACTTCCAAAATTGTAATTAGCTATGTTAAAATATACCTGTTTTTAATGAGTAAAAGCAAAAAAGCTACCCTAAGTTAGTTTGACAGCAAATTTTTTGAACAAAACTACAATATAAATAAATGATTGATGCAATGCGAATATGTCATCTCTCATTCATGTTGAAAGCCAAAATTTCAAGAACTTTTGAATATTTCTTATCCTCAGTAAGAGATTCCATCTAAAAAACAACTGTCATCTTAAAATTTGGAAACAATGCTTTAAAAGTTGTTTAAGTAAACTTCTAAATTTCCACTATACAAACGTTGAGCAACATAATTGTGTTTAACTTACTTTATTATTTTTGGTTATTTTGTAGCATGTAATTGACAGTAATCGAAAAGTAATGTAATTACTTTTGATAAAGTAATCGATTGCAATCGATTATATACAAAAATCAGAGTAATCGATTATTAATCGATTGCACAAAATCCTTCATGTAATCGATTATTAATCGATTACATTTGTCAGTAATCGTGCCCATCCCTGTTATAGATACAAAACGTGTTTTTTTTGTGTTAATGATTCTCATAGGATTGTGTGTCGCCTTTTGTGTTTTCTTAAAAACTACTGCATTTTTTCTTTAACTTAGTGCACAGTATTATTAAGGAAGTTGAATCATTTTGACAGACATAATTTTTTTTCTGATTGCTTCCACCTTTTGAAAATACAGCAGATTTTTCACAGATTTTGAAGTAGAATTCCACTTAATTGAATTTACGATCCGATACCAGCTAGATCTTTCACGATCCGATCGCAATGCTTGACCACCGTTAGTTATTCTTTCGCTATCATTTTTCTCGATATACCGAACGACACCCGTGGGCAATAGCTTCTATCAGGAATCAAATGTCGATTTCGGTCATTGTAGATCTTATTTTGCTGACCATGTTTGTTACATACAGTTTCCCCTATATTCATAGTTTTCACACAAAAACACGCAGATATTAGAAACTTAACCGAAGGAAAATACACCTATAGGCAGTCAACTGATGATTTTGGCCATCCTGACTTATATGTAGATCTTGACTATGTGTGCATTTTTTCAAGTACAGTTTCTTCAGGTAAATAAGTGATTTGACCCACTTTGGTCAAAAATGAGTACGTCTTAGACTGTTAAAATAAACTAAAGATCCCCTGAACATGAATAATCCAGTCGTTATATTCCACTCACTACATTTTGGCGCTAACGGTAAAAGGGCTGGGTTAGTATTCGAGTTTATATCTCCTTTACATAAAATTGTCCATGTATTGAGCAAGTTTTCTATAATTTTGACATAATTTGCCTTAAAAGTTGTATACTACACTGTACAAATCTTATCGAGAAACTGCTGGTGAGATTGTTTTTTAATTTACACACCTACAAATTAATCGTGTTAGGTACCACAGTCATTTGATACCTGAAAAGGGGGGGGGGGCTTGAAATATTTTTGGAATGAAAAGGGTACTTTACAAATTTTCAAAACTTCAGGTGGGTGGGTGGGGGCTATCAGTATCTGAGTCTTCAGCAGAAGTGTCAAACACTTGATTCAGATGTCATATATCTACATTGAATATCTCTTATGTCATCATACTAACTTATAATAAAGGATATACAAAATGTGATGAAATTGAATGAAAGTGTGGTGAATGTCAATGATACCATAACAGGCATAACCAAATAAAGTTCCCTGAAGTCACCAACATTGTGTTGTCATGTCTTTGGAAGGGAGGGGTATTGGATTAAATTTTCTTTTTCAAGATTGGGACTTAAAATATAAGAGAAATTCCAATGTTTCCTCCCATCCCCCTCCCTCTTATGAAGGAAAATTACCAGTCCCTAATCGGGCCATGTAATGTTTATTGTTCCTTTATTACCATAAAATGTACAGACCAATCAGGAGTTACAATTGTATCAAGTGAAGTCAAATTTGTACAATATACATTTACCTGATGACGACAATGAAATGATAAAACGGCTCAATTTTAAGTCACCGACAATAAATAGCTGAATGACATATGAACAGGTAAAATGATCGCCAGGTACAGTAATGTATTAGCATACAAGAATGTATATTTTACACACACTAAATATTTTTCCGTTGAATAATTCATTGTGCTTGTTGGACTACGATAGGAAATTGATCGGATTTAGTGTACTAAACTAAACATGATTCTTTCATTTTTTGATTGTAAATACACAAACAGGTAGGATAATGACAAATTTCATTTTCTTTTATTTTAACAACATTTCTCGTATGTAAATACGAAATGAAGACCAACAGGAACACAAAGGTATTGCAAATAAAGTTATCATAAATCAGGCCGTTTAGTGGAGTGACAAATCAAGAAAACGTCGCTTATATAAAGAGTTTAATGGACCGAAATACCTCATGGCTGAAAATTCACATGAAGATAGATTAATTATAAACTTTGTACTTTCATTTTAGCCCTGTCGTAGAGTTTTCCCACGGTGCAGGTTTTTGTAAAATGGCGATAAAGTGTGACTTTCCGATTTTTTTCTTTTTCATTTTCAAACACGGGAACGCTTATAATAAAATCCCGAATGAATAAATCATCAAACAGTTGTTATCAAATGAAACAATTATTTATAAGCTTTTATTCAACATCAAACTTTAATATCACATGAACATATGAATTGAGTGAATTGGACGATTTTCAAATGTATGTGACATTTTTTTCAATCTTACCGGCTGTCAAAGTATATTACTTTTCTTATATATATCACCAGTAGTCAATTTGTTAAAAAAAATAGTGACACAACTAATATGCAAGAAGTTTCAATATATAAAAGTTTGAAAAAGCATACAAATTAACTTTTACGGGACTTTTTATAATACTCATCATATAGCAGTTTTACTATTCAATTTTCACCTCAATAAGTCGAGTTGCTCTCCCTTTTTCTATTTTCCCTTGACTTCAGATTTGCTGTGTTTTTACAAAAGAATTAAACTGTGTATTTTCTTTATTTTTGTATATATAAAGAATATAGATTTATATCAATGTTTGTGTTTAGATTTTTGACTTAGTACAGATTTGTGTTTTAGTAACTTTTGAGGTGTTTTATTTTCTTATTGAGTTTTTCCGAATAGACTAATTTTAGACCACATTGGTACACCGCCGAAAAAATCCCGGAAAATAATGGACATAAGTCCTGTTAAATATGCTCACTCAATGCCGAAAATGAGTAGACTCAAGAGTAATTGGGAATAATGCGTTATTTGCCAAATTTCTGCAAACGAATACCACAGAAAAAGGGTAGAATACTCGTTTAGATGCAATAGATGAGAGACAGGGTACTGTTTATCGCCGCTTTATGATGAAATTGATTCAAACAAACTGATTCCATTAGAACAAATAAAGTATCATAGGTCGTGTTATACAGTCTATCCAGGTAGAAAAAAAATTGGAAACATTTCAATTCTCAACAGCTTGTGCAAAACATTATGTGTATGAATCAACAATGATCAAATTGCGTTAAAACACGCTCTATGGCATTACCATTAGACTGGTCTAAATGTTTGTTCTATAGACAAAATTCATACAAGCGAGATAAGCAATTAAAGCGAGTCTATTGAACGTGCCGATATCTTAAATGCCGCAAAGACAAGCCTGACTATCCAATGGTAAGTTTACTCTCTATAGATAACTTCAAGGACAAGCGCGGCACTGTATCATTCAGTATGCATTGCTAACTACATGCTGAACTGGAAACAGGAACTTGATTATGATGCTTCAAATTAGTCGGAGCATGACGCTGCTTTCCAAAACCTAACAGAAAGTCTACACGTTGATCTGTTTGTGAAAAAGAAAGCATTTTCGTTGTCGCATTTACTAAATACATATTGTTTCTTTCTTCCACAAGAAATGAGAAGTAAATATACAACTGCTAAACTGCAACACAAACCAGAAAATCACTACGGTGATAACATTGTTGTTCAGTCTCAAAGAGGACAGGGTAGATCCAATATGATTTTCAGTAGCTCAATTAGTGCTTCTGAGGCTATTCGCGCTGCCAGTTGTTTAAAATCGGAATTAAAGTTTTCAGAGATGGAAACAAGTTTTGTAAATGATTCCATACATCAATAAGATCAGACCCTTCATGATGCGTCAAAAATTTTGAGAAGCAGTTTACGAATGCTCAAAATTTCAAATGAATATTATCAATCTCCTTCAGAAGTTTCTATCCCTACAGCTTTACAATTTATATCTACCTCTTTGATAAATTTTCTTGACAGGTTAATAGATGACAATTGTTTTCATATGAAGAAAGATTACAATTCACTCCCATGTGATACTGTACGGAAATGTATTGCTTTAAGCTGAGTGTGTGATATCCCTGCATAAAAACCAGTACACCCCTTTAAGTTGAGCATTGGCTCTTCAGCTGCATCACGAATATGATTCGCAAAATCTTATTGAAACTTTACATTCACATGGCTTTTGCGAGTCGTACACTGAGGCTAGAAAATTTCTGACATGTTTCTTCAACCAAAGACGCAAGACGGTTTATACATGTACACGACATATGCAATGGTATTGGAACAGTGATGTCTAGCACACTACTAGCTGCTCATGCTCCAACGGAATGAGACACGACGTCTTCTTTCTTGGCAAAAAGACAGTATATAAGGCGTTGAAACAACACCAATTCAGATATCAAGGTTCTGACATTGAAACATCTATTGCAGTGGGAAGACAATTTATCGCTGATCTATATGACCCAAAGGCAAGGCTCAATCAGTACATGCTGATCTTAATAAACTGAGAGTGAAGTCAGCGCTATCTAAGGATGTTGCCTAAGTGAGACTATTTCCTTCAGAGGCATCATTCAGACAACACATTTTTAGAGTTTCACTACAAGTGTTAGTCTGGATGTATGCTCATATCCCCAAAACATCACTCAGATCAACTCTGGGGTATGGATGGACAATAGTGAATAGCTCCATAAATCAACTATATTTTGAAGGGCCAATGTCTTTTGACATTTTACAGTACCTTTTTTGCACATGCAAAGGAAACATTATTTGTAGCAAATCGTGTGCATGCTATGAACAAAACTTGTCATGCACAAGCATTTGTGGTTGTCAGGGCAGTGCCGATTGTAGAAACCAGCTTACTTATCAGACTGTTTTAGAAGATTGCAACGATAAGGATGATGATTAAGTGTTAATCTCAATGCCGAATATTTCATGTGTTTGCTGCAAATGGCTTTTTACTTGACACGTAGAGGGAGGTTTTCTCTCTCTCTTAACAAAAAAATTTAAAAAATCTAAAAATGAATTTTAAAATTTAGAATTACAAAAAAAAAAAAAAAATGCCAGTGGTCTCCGACCTTGACGTGGTTGTTAGGCTTGTAAACCAACTGAAGACTTTGTCGAATATTTTGAAAGTATAACAAGACATCGAATCGATACATTTTTGTCTTAGTTTTCCGTTACCACTTCAAATGAACGTGTATATTGATGTCAAGAGTTACAGAAATATAAACAAATATCTTCATTTTTATCATAATCTCTGTGAATCGTGTTTGTTTGATATATATCGTGTTTTAAAATCGTTTTAGGTCAAGAGTATGCTCTTTCTACCATTGTTTGTGTTGTTTTATAAAAAGTGGGACACACATTTTCAATATGCTATTGCTCTCGTACTGATTGACCTATTATCATAAAATAAAATGCATATACTATCGTGTTCATGGTAACATTTATGCATCAAGACTATTTTTTAAGTTCCAACATTCTTTTGGGTTTAAAAAAATAATAATGAATTTCATCATTTTTTTCATTGAATCATGGACCGGGTGTTAACTATACTGTACTTATTTCTCCTTTGTTCTTTATGGCATGTTAACAAAACTTTCCCAAACATATTTTATATGTTGTCATATATTATTGCACCACTAAATATTAAATATAAATATTTTTTGTCGATAATTTCTGCAGATAAAGATAATTTTTATCATTTTCTTCCATGTTGGATGCGGGGGTATTCATCACTTATCTGTGTCAATCTGGCATAAACATGACAAACTGAATTTGTGCAACACTCCCAGGGCATGATTCAATATAAATGTTTTCTCAGTTATTATGAGGGACTACCGAGAAATTGTCCAAAATGTCCACAAATTGCGATTTTTTAAAATCCCCCTTTTGACCTTTGACCACAGTTTTCAAAAATCTGCACCACTTTGGCACTCTACGACATGTCTTAATCAAAGGGTTATTATATTGATCTTCAAAATAAGACCAAAATTAGCCGTGAGGTATTTCAGTCCATTAAATGTTTTTAATTTACCTTTAGTTACTTGTCACCGTATTAGTTGGTCTTCTCGTTTGAACTGTTTCACATTTTGTCGTGTCGGGGGAGTTTATAGCTTACTTTACGGTATGGGGTTTTCTAATTGTAGACGGCCATATAGTGACATAAAGGGACTTTTGTAATAAATCAAGGTATTTTTGACTGTAGGGTTTGATACATGTAGGACTATTGTTTCAGTTGAAAAAAAATATTTAATATTGTTAGCCATTTTAATTGCCTAGAGTCAATCCATATTTTGATATTTCAAAAATAAATACAAGCTGTTATGAATATTAAAGTGGTTAGAAAACATTTAATGGATAATATATACAATACAATAAACCTCCTTTCAACATAATTTATACGCTGCAGACAATGAACGCAAATAATAAGTCTAAATTATTCAAAATAATCAATAATTCAATAACAACATCTGGATAAACATGTTGCAAACTGTTTCTAAAAACTGCCCAAAGGTTATACTATTATCAACCAGATATACATTGAAGAGAATTAAAAAAAAAGAAAGGCAATCATATCAGAAATGAAATTGAGAATGGAAACGGGGAATGTGTTCAAGAGAAAACAACCCGACCAAAGCGCAGAAAACAGCCCAAAGCCACCAATGGGTCTTCAACACAGAGCGAAATTCCCGCACCCGGGGGCGGGCTTCAGCTGGCCCCTAAATAATAATGTATTATACTAGTTCAGCAAAAATGGACGTCACACTAAACTCCAAAACATATAAATGAACCAAAAAAAAAAAAAAAAAAAAAAAAAAAAAAAAAAACCATACAAGACTAACAAAGGCAAGAGGTTCCTGACTTGGAACATGCGCAAAAATGTGGCGGGGTTAAACATGTTTTGTGAGATATCAAACATCCCCC